GTGGCTGGAGAAAGGTAACACAGCCCACTGCTGAAAGCTGGAGTGGCTCTCTCACTCTCAGGTTAATGCATGTGACACACAAATATTAGAATTTGTACTGTGGCAGTGGCACAGGCTTCACCTCACCGTGCATTTTTTCCTGCAATAGGTGAGTGAACATCTTACAGCAGGCTCTGCCAAAGACAAGGACTGGTCTCTTTATATGTTCAGTGGTGAGAGAGTACAAAACCTCAAACTCACTGAAACCAGTGAAGCATTTTCAGAAGAGCTGGAAGAAGAGTCTGAATTTCACTCCACACTCTACCATATGCTCAAGGATTCTGCCAGCAGCAAAGCCATGGGTAAAGTGGAAAGAGCTGGCTTCCTGTTTATTGATTCTGTGTATCAGCTGCTCCTTGCTACCCGAATTTTAGCATACTCTTAGATACTGAATGCTTTCCTTTAAAACTTTATTATCAAAAGCTTTCAATAAAGTTACATTTCAAGTCTTAAATCCTTTTCTATTCAAATCATTGAAACAGGATCTAAAATGAAAACATTTTATCTTTGTTCAAGCAAAATAAATTCTTTATTCTCTTGTGGCTAGACCACCTAGACATGTTTATTGTTAGCTATGTTCAAAATTCCTGTTCTATTGTAAACCTCAATAGAACTGAGACCCTTTTAGCTGCTTTTAAAGATGACTTTTGTCAGAATGGGAAAAAGGTACTTTTTTTCCATTTCAAGTCATGCTTTAAAAAAAAAAAAAAATTGATCTCTTCCCCCCAAAAAATTCCTTCAACCCAGCAGAACAAATCCAGCGTGTAACCTGCACTAAGTGGCAGCTCCAGCTCCTGTCCTGCAGCCGTGGCAGTGGCGCTCGGGCGGCGGGGCCGGGGTTATACCGGGGGAGGGCCGTGGTGTTGCAGTCCTGTGTAGGGCCACAGCAGCTGCTGCAGTGATGTCCAGGAGTCCCCAGTGCCCACAGGGGCTGCATCTGCTGGCCTCTGCAGGGACAGCCCCGTCAGGAAGCTCGTGAGAGCAGCCAGCAGCACCAGGATGGACACGGACACCCAGAGGGTTTTGTTAGCGTTGCAGAAGGAAGCCTTGAAGTGGGATGCCCACGCTGACATCAAATTGTACCTGGGCAGGAGAGGAAAGCACAGAGCCTTCAGAGTTCCTTCAAAATGTGCAAATCTCCCCACCCCACCCCAAAAAGCCTTAAAGGAAACCAGAACCCACAAACATCAAAAGTGAGGTTGTTACTATTTTGGGAGCTGTGCAGGGGAACTTCTGAGTCTAAAACACAGCCAAGGAAGCAAATTCTTGATAAGCTGACCCAGCTCACCAGTCCACCCATGCTCCCTGTACCTCACACTGGTCTGAAGAGCATTCACAAAAGCTGCCCTGCAAGAGCAGCAAGAAATCTTGCTCGTATAAAGCATTGAAAGTCCTGGCCTCTTGTTTGAACCCTCTTCCCATGTCAACATCCCAAACATGGCTTTAACTTGTGAAAGAAACTTACATTGACTCCAGGGTCCATTTGGATGTGCATTTTCCTTTTTCAGAGACACTTTCCTTCCTTGTTGGTTGTTCCTGTACTTCAGCAGGTGACTCCAACTGCTCATTTCTGTAAACAAGAATCAACAGTTCCAAAGCTTTGCCAAATTCACAACAGCTTGGCTTTATAGTCCTGGCCAGGTGATGAATTAAAAGCTTATTAAAAAGCAAACCAGCACACCTGGGAGGAGGCTTCTGCTGAACTTACTTGGTTTCAAAATGCTCCTCTTCATACTCTGCCCAGGAATAGGTGCTGAGGAACCTCTGCAGTGAAGGACGCTTCTCGTTCTGCTTCACCCCTAGCCTGCCCCTGCCATGTGTCAAACAAATTTGTCTCATTTTCCCCAGCAGATAGAGAGAAGAAAAGCAAAAATTTAGCAGCAGCCTACTCTTTTGGTTGACCTCAGAAAAATAACTTAAAAATTTCAACTTAGATTTTTTTTTTTTTGCTTGAAATTAGAATAATTTAAAAAAAACCCAAATGAAACCAAACAAAACTGCAGATCCATCCACTGTGGATACTTAGATTTCACATTTTCTCTCTAAAGCAAGAAAGTTGAGAGGTTGGGGTTTTTTAAAGCTCTCAATGCTCAATAAATAAAGTTGAGCTCAAAAGTCTCATTTACCTATTATAGCTCATAAAACTAATGCAAAAGGTGCAGCTTAAACATTATTCTACCCCAAGATGCTCCATAAACTGCTTACTACAAGCACAGTTAGAGTCAGAAAATATTTCCCCCATTCAAAGACAAGCCTGGGTGATTTTTACCAACTGCTTGATCTCCTGCTGAATCTGTCACTCCGTTCATCCCCATCAGGTTCATGGAACTGGGCCTGGAGGAGAAATTTGCCAATATTTACTGCACTGGCATTGTGATGCTTCATCCCAGCCAGCTCTGGGGAGGTGAAGCACCTCAGCCTCCCTCCAGCAGCCCCTCCTTACCAGTGGCACCCCGATCCCTGCATTCCCAGCACTCCTGGGCACTGTGGCAATGCTCACTCTCCTCAGGGCTGCCGAGGGCTAGACAAATAAGAGGCACAACTGGGTTACTCACCGAGCACACAAAATACCATCTGTTTATGCAAACTATATTTAAAAAAAAATAAAATATTGGCACTTAGCTTGAAGTGACACACAAAGAATCCAATCGCAAGTACAGATCAAATCAGATCTTTAAAGCAGCATCTTTCCACAGTAAGTGCTTTCTGCCCACCTGAGTGAGGCTGCACAGCTTCCAGCAACATACCAAAGCTGAACGTGACTAAATTCTCCTAACCTCACTCACAGGAATTCCTACACTCGGTTTGAACTGCTCCCCATCTCATTTTTGTGCTAAACCCTCCTCTAACTCCAAGAGAGCCAAACATGAACAATATTTCTTAACCAGTGAGTGAGAGCCCAACCATTTCACCTTCATCTTCTAAGGGGAACCACTTGGAAGGTTGGTGGGGTGCCTGAAAAGTAGATCCTCATGTTTGATGACACCAGCCCATATTTGTGACAGAAAAGCACCAAGTCAAGCAAGCATGCAGTAGAGCACCAGCACATAAAGCAAAGAAAAACACACACAGACTTAAAATTTTGCAATTTTATGTAAGGACCATTACCTTAAAGTTAAAAGGACTTGGGAGCTTCTTATTCATAGATTCATCTGTGAAGAGATTGAACATCAGAGCTTTACAGGAGGAGTTTGCTGCTTACAGGAATGTAGCAAGTTTAATTTGCAGCCTAAGGTCTGACTTTCTGAAGTTTAAGCAATGCACTCCCAGAAAGCAGAAATGAGATCTCAGGAAAAAGCTTCATATTTCATTAAATAAGTTCATAACATTCACACATTACCCATCCTCTGGAAGCATCACCTTCTGTCATTATTATCAACTATTTTCTATTATCAAGGCAGTGTCCTGTTACAGGACTGCCTTTCACAGTCAGGACTGTAATTCAAAAGGCTCCTTCAAGGATTTTATGGTGTGCAAGACCTCTCTTTTAATGTTTAAAAAACACATCCTATTTTTCACAAGAGTTGAACACTTCTTTGGCAAAGCCACAGGTGAACAGCACTGGCTGCAAACCTGGCTGCTTAGAAGGGGAAATAGAGGCTCCCTGCACTTTAGGTGTTTGTAATTCCCATGTAGAATGGGGCAGGGTGCATCTGTAGAGAGCAGCCAAAACTCAGCTACCTAGAAATAGCTACTGTGAACAAGCACCCAAATTTACTGCTCACAAGGAATAAGATTATCACCAACACATGCCAAGCCAGAACACGTTCCTGTGTATTTGCAATGGTCCCACACACACACCCTGAGATCCATGATAGTTTAGGTACAAGTTTAATTTCAGAGAGATGCTTTTAACAGTGTTAATAAATCGCTATTCCCATAATAATATATGGGATATATGTATTTTCCAAATATAATCCCATTTTTAGAAGAGGAGATAAAACAACCATAATAATTCTATCACCCAAGGCATGGAGGGATTATATGACTATTCTGCAGCTATAAGGGTCTGTCTGGCAGGTGCTAGCAAGGGGCAAGAGGCTTTTCCTGGTTACCTCTGTCTCCCAGGGAGCTGAAGGACCTCTCGTTCTGGAGCAGGACCTGCTTGAGCTCCTCGAGCTCGGCGTGCTCTTTGGCGTACATGCGCTTCAGATTCTCCACGTGCTGGATCATCACCTCCACAGCCTTGCTCACCCGGCTCTCCTGGGGCAGCAGGGAAAGCAGCAGCTCTCAGGAGTTGCCCCATGGTTGGGGATTTCCCCCTCAAGCATCTTCTCTCCTCTGGCATCTCACTTCTATCCTCCCTTTCAAAGCTTCTCTACAACCCCTGTCCTGGCACATGCTGCACAGGTTTCATTTCTCTGAGGATCACTCTTGTTGTAAACTAAATTAATCAGTCTTCAGTTTTCCAAGCCCTTACAAATCATCATAATCATTTCCTCTGAGCTATAGTCTCAGCTGCCACCATGCATTTGCTGGGTTTGCCAAGTCATATTTTCATGCTGCTGTCGTATTATATACAACTACACCTAACATTTGAGCAGGGCTTTTCAATTTTCTATAGATTTAGCTGATTAGCTGCCCTTTCCATAAGGCACAGAACCATCTTGGCACCATCAAGGCCATTGTTACTACCCTGCAAAGTCATTTTTTTCAACCAGAATCTTATTTCTGCTGTGGGTTTTTGCACAATTCTAGTGCAGCATACCTGCTCTCAAGGCCTGGAATTCCTTATAAGAGCACAGAGAAGGCCAGGACTAAGCTGTCCTGACCAGTCTACAAACCACACACACCAGACTCCCAAATCCAATCCTGGAACCAGAAGCCCAGCAAGGAGATATGCCTATCCCTTTGCAGTTAGAGGATTTCAGCTCTGTACAAACTACTTTTAGATGGAAAGTGTTACCTGATTAATAGCTCCCAACATCTCTGCTCTGCTGGCAACTCGAGCTGCATATTGGCTGAGGAACTGCAGGCTTTTCTGCAGCTTCTTAATGATCTCCTGTGCTTGGTTATCTTCTTCACACAAAGGAGCTAGTGCCTAAGAGCACACATTGGTAAGAAAACTGGTGTGAGTTATTAACAGAGAATGAAGGGTTGAGCTGGTCACACTGAGGAGCTGTGGTTCAGGCCCACATCAACATCTTCAATCAGTGTAACTTGGATTGAGAGCTCTAATGGGCAGAGTCTGGAGAATAAAATCAGCTGAAGAAGGGGTCAGATGTTTGTGCAACAGAAAAATACCCCCCTGCCTGAGCACACAATGCACCTGGATTATAACTTCTCATATTTCAACTGCACTGCTCCAGAACTTCATTCATATTTGCTCATAATGTATCCCATGCACACCCCCCCTTTAAAGAGCTGTTTTGAGACACATCTACTTATCCCATCCACCCTACCAGCCCTGGCCAATACCAACCTCTAACATCTTCACAGCATTTGTGATCTCCTTTTTCAAGTTTTCTTCAGCCAGGTCTCGGGACCTCTCTTCAAGCTTCACTCTTTTGTCCAAGGTAAACAAGTCACACTTAAAACCTAAAGATAGCCTCAGAAATTCAGCCTGTTGTGGGAGAAGAAAGATTTCAGAGGAATCCAAATGATGCAGAAATTTAAGTAAATTTGGACACTGATATGACATTTGGGACTATACCCTGTGACTGAAATTTAGGAGAGATACAGAAGAATCAGTGAACGTGACCCATTTCCTTAAAGCAGGTCTTCCCTGCTTCCATCTGTAGTGATGGGTGGAATGTTCTGAGAACAAGAGGTGACATCCTGGCAGCACCCTGTGCCATCTGTGCCTTTTGACAAAACTGTCTTAAATCAGCACATTCTGCCTGGGAGGAGGTCACAGCTATGCTCCTTCAAGCTTGCAAACAAGTGTCACAGTAGTGACAAGTCTTTGTTCAGTTTTACAGATTTCCACCTTTCTCCATCCCATCTCCTGCAAAAATTTCCATTAGGCTTGGAAAGATTTCAGAAGTTAACCTACAGAAATACATCCAGTTTAAGCTGGATCTTTCTTTTATATAGGAGGAGATATTAAGAGTTTATCTACAAGATCTGTTATCTGAAATACTTCAGCATACAAGCAACTGAGACTTACCTCCACTTCCTTCTCATTTGGGGAGTCACTGTAGGAGAAGAAAAAAAGAACCATGAAACAGACTGTGGCTTTAAATTCATACCTGCAGGTGAGCACTTAAAGTCAAAACACTTACGGCTCATTTTGCTTGGTTTTATCTCCTTTAATGCCACCTGCAGTGGGTGAACTCCCTGAGAAGAGACCAAAACAAACTGTTTTCAGACTAAAGTGAGAAAACAGCCTCCCCAAACCAACCTGTGAGTCTTTTAAGCTTCCACAGAAGCCCGTGTTTGGGATTTCCAGTGTTAAGCTCTTGCCACTGTAAATAACTCGTGGGCCTCAGGTTCTATTCATTGAGAGGCAGCACAGCACTGCCAAATGTACAAAGCCCCAAAAGTCAGATGCTCAAGGGACTTCAGCTGGCATCTTATTGGCACAGAAATGGTTAAGTGCAGGTTTTGGCTCCAGGATGTTATGTGATTTACTACCTCACTAGTTTTTAGTCATCTCCAAAGGCAAAAGAGAAGGTGATTTAAAAAGTGGGGATGTCTAAGGAGAAACAACATCCTGCTCCTCTACATCATGGATAGCACAGAGATGCTTTTTTACAAATCTCTGGGGAGAGCAGGAGTGCCAGAACTGTTTCAGACATCCCAACACCTTGGCAGCTAAGGATTTTCCCCCTGTCTAGGAGAATGTGGAGCTGATTAGATCAGTATCTGCAGATTTAGCATTACACCACTGTTCTTTTCTCTTCATTCTGATCTCCAACTGCAGGTACCAAGCCCTAAAACAAAAGCCTCTGATCATATTTGGTGTGGGACAGGCAGCTCCTACACAGCTCTGGACTCAGCTTGTGCTCCCCCAATATGAAGGTGTTCAGCAAAACCCCCTTACCTTTCCTGCTGGGAACCACAGCTGGTGCTTCCTCACTCTGCTCTTTATTATTTTTCTTTTCCTGCTCCACCTCCTAAGGGCACAGCAGAGCAGTTACAGCAGGGGAGCAGCCACACCACCCCTGGAGGGGTCTGTCCCCCCCTTTGTCACTGCTCAGCCAACCCAGCTGGGCTTTTCCCTGCCACCAGCACTCTTACCAGGTCTTGCTTCAAAACATTCTGAAACACAGGCTTGTGTTCTTCCATCATCAGGCAGGATTCATTCTTGATCTGACTTGGTCCTGTGGAGAAACATTCCCAAAAGCAAATGTAACAATAAAACACACTGAGCTTCCAACATCCAACATTTTAGCCACGGGCTAACCAGGCTAAAAAACCACACCAAATGCCACGAAAGACAGCTGAGAAAAAGAGGAGGCAGCAAAAGACACTACAAAGACACATAGGAAGAAGTGTGATGATAACTATGATTGGAAAAAATCCCCATTAGAAGTGTTATATGCCTACAGCTGAGAATATAATGTACTTCCTGCAGCTGAAGATGCAAGGGTTACAGTAATAATCCCTTGGATAAATAAATTTTATTATTTTGCTACCAGCATGAAGGTTTTTTGTTGTTATGTTTGCTGTTTAAAGAGGCAGCTTTTAAACAATATTTATACCTTTTAGGATGTCTAGAATATTTTGTTTTCTCCTCTGTTTATGCAGTCACACAGCTGTGAGCCAAAGAAATGGCAGGGGTAAACAGAAAAGAAAACAAAAAACCCAGATAAACTCCAGCTTCAGGTGTGAAGCCTGCACGGGGAGATTCATCAGTTCTAGTGTTAGGAACACTTTATTTTCAGAGATCTGCAACAGGCAGCTGGATTCTCAGACTTAAAAGCTGTTGTGACTTTTTAAAACTTGCTCTGCATATCTGCTTTCTCTTAGCCAAAGGCACCTGGACCACATATAGAAATTAACAGTAGAGAGAAATTAGCAGAAAGAAAGTGCTTTTAAATGGAAAGGATAGAATTAAATTTCAGGAAGATAGTGCTGAGGAAAGAAACAAAACCAAGCAAGAAACTGTAGTCTTATATAGAGATAAAGATTAAAAAAAATTACAAACAAGTATGCACAGGTGTTCTGTGTTGCTTATTCAGCTTTACAAAACCAGCTTAAATACTGTGTGTACACATGCTCCAGTTTTGGTTTTATAGTTTTTCAGTGGAAGAAAGCCATCAGATCTGGTAAGAATCTGGCGAGTGTTTCTTGCTCTAGCAAAGACAAAGCAATACAAAAATGCCTCTACCCTCATTTCTCCTCTTGACTTATCCCAGCTTCTTGCGCAACAGCCTTGAAAGAGAGCAAAGTGTTTAGTGGCACTGTTCTACTAAATAACTGTTTGAACCCATAAAAACATGTTTTCTCTTATCAAAGTTGTCTGGGATTTTGTACCCACGCAATATTTTACCAGCTGAGCAAGCCCCAAGATCTCACTGAGTCGTTTCATGCTCCCTGCCCTCAGTGCTGTGGTAAGGTGGGTACAAAACTTTATTCCTACTCAGCTTCAGGGAGGCTTGAGAGCACTAGCAGGTGAAAATATTTGCAAGAATAAACAGTCTCATGTTGTTGCTCTTACTCAGCTTCCTCACTTCAAAGAGGTGCTGGAAGCAAACCATTTCCTCACTGGGGGAGCAGCCACTGTACCTGACACGGGAGCAGCTGCCTCCTTATCGCTGTTTGTTGCCTCAGAAGTTGGCACATCTTCCCCTCTCTCAGGAAAGCCCTTGGATGATCCCTCCTCCATAACAAGGCAGCCTGCAACATCAGAAAACACACCTCCTATTGTTCAGTAAACACACAGACCTGGGCACATCCAGGACTTCCAGTGCCCCAAATTAAAGACTCACCCGGTACCGGTGCTGTGCTTTCCACTGAGGATGCAAGAGCTTCTGGGGCTGATGTTAAGTGATCACTGCCAAAACAAAACCCTTTCAGATACTCATCCACAAGATACAGATTCTTGATAAAGGATTTTAAACCTTGCACAAGACCTGACCTGGATGGGATCAGAGTGGCTGCTGGTGTTGGCTCCCCACAGTCAACCTTTAGAGAGAGAAGAGCGTGAGTATCAGAGTGGTAACTGCCAGTATAAAACTTGAGTGTCAAAACGATTCCAGCAGTGAAGACCTAGCTGCTAAGTGAACACTTTCACCCACTAGTCTAAAACCATCTCAGGAATGTCATACTCAGAGATATATTTTGGTTCCTGACTCCGTGGTTTGCTCCTATCCCACATGCTCAACGACCAACAAACATGTTACTGCACCACCACTGTTCCAGCTGAACTCTGTGCATCAGGAGAGATCCATTTTCAAGGTCTAGAGCTCAAAACCTACAAAGGAGGTGCACAGAGCTTCACTTGGCTGTAGGGATCAGACTCATTGGTAAATAAGTGTTAATAGCTACAGCATGAACAAGTAGGTGGTTCAGAACACAGAAAATGTGTGCTGTGATGTACACCTTAGTGACTGCCTTTGAAGGCATCCAGTTTTACAATATTATATATAATAATTAACCAGCCCCTTGAGAGGCCTCAAGCCTCCCTGGTGTGCAAACAGCAGAGGAACCATTAAAAGCTGGCAGTTTTGCTGATGTTCCTCTAGCTGCCACAGTGTGGTTTTGGACCCAAGTCTTATCACATCACAGGCAAAACCAACATCCTCTTGAGGCTTTTAATTTCGAGGGAGGTGCTCGATGTGCAACATCCCTCTTCTGCATTTCACCCTGGAAAGTTCCAGCTGGCTCATTCAGTTGTTAGGTTGGTCTCTCTTTATGGATGAAAATACAGGGGGGAAGTGATGAGGTTTAAAGGTTTAAGTTGGTAATGACTTGTGCTGAATTACACCCAGTGTTGAAGAAAAGTGCTGAGTAGAAAACAAAGCCAGCCCAAACCCACTCCTCTCTCCAAGAAGAGGAGGAATGAGGCCAAACTCAAGCTCCCTGCACAGCAAGCACCCAAGAGCACTGTTGAAGCGTGTGTGGAGAAACAAAAACCACACCAGCAAGCGATTGCCTGTGTTCTGATATCTTTCCTGCTCACTCAAATGCCCTCAGAGGACACAGGAAACCCAGCAAATGACAACAGGAGGTACCCAAGAGCCCTGGTCACTCCCCAGAGTGACCAACTGCTCCCAGCATCAAGAAGTGCTTTTTCCCTCCTTCCTGCTCTTGCACAGCCCTGCCCCAGCCGGGTGGATGCTTCTTCTAATGCAAATTCAGGCTATTTTTATTACTGTTATTTGAATTCTCTCCTAAGCTTGAGGAAGTGCAGCAACGCATTTGCCTTGTTCAAGCCATTGGGTCTGCAGGAGTATTGGAAAGGGAGAATAACATCATGTTGGAAAGAAAAGAAATCTAAAGGGCTTTTACACCTAACACACAGCACCCAAGTAAACAGAAGAGCACTTTTATCACCTAGAACTGAAACAATACATTATGCTACATGACCTGTCCCTGCCCAGTTGGGCACATGGTCAGTGGTTTCTGTTTGCAATAGAAGGAAAAGCCTCAATTCAGTTTTTCAAAACCCTAAGCTGGCTACTAGGATTGTATATTCCCATGGACTCCACATAAAGGGAAAAAAATCCCAATAAAAGAGAAACAACACATTCTAGATTTCTTAATAAAATAGAATCACACAATGGTTTGGGATGGAAGGGATTTTAAAGATCAAAGTTTCAACCAGTGGAAGGGACACCTTTCACTATCCCAGGTTGCTCAAGCCAGCATCCAGCCTGGCCTTGGACACTTCCAGGGATGGGGCAGCCACAGCTGCTCTGGGCAGCCTTGCCAGGGCATCACTACTCTCACTGTAAAATCTGTTTGCACGGGGCATTAGAGAATGGCACAGTCTTTTATGAGGAAGAATGGCCAAAGAAGATCCTGAAGCCCATCCCTAATCACTTTTCCCACCTCCATCCCCCTGATTAGCATAATAATGCAAGGGTTCTCTATCTCAGCCCACGAATTCTGGCCACGGTCTGATAGAACTCCTCCCGAACAATCATTAACATTTGGAAGACCTGTCTGATTTTCAGACTGTGGTATGACTTCCACATTTATAAATCAAAACACAAATTAAAAGCCTAAGTTTCACTTAGCTCTCACAAGTGCTCCTTTATTAAGTAGTCCCTGAACTTGTATGGTGATAATGATTTGACACAAATAATTTGAGTTACTAACATGCTGATCTCAAATACACCTGCAACTGGAGTATAATAAAACTCCAAAGAAAACTAGGGGGACTTTTTTTATTGAACAAAGATATTCAAATTTTCCTACATACCTGTGTTTAGAATAGACACTGGGCACAGCCCATTTGCCTTTTCTCTGGGGACAAGCTTTAACATTTTCATTTTCCCCCTTTGGAACTTTAATGTGCAAAACTTATATTAAAAAATGATAACAAGAACGGAAAATGACATTTTTGGAGACCAGTTAGAATTACAGAAAGCCCCAGAACAACAAAGCACAGGTGTTTCATTCACCTTTGCACAGCTGTGACTTTACAGAAGGACTGAATAAAGTAAGAACCCTTGAGAGGATCCTCTTTAAGGGCACTTCAGTAGTAGCAGCACAAACTGGGAGTTCTTCACCTGCTCTACCCCACTGTGCTGAAACCACAGAGTCCCCAGCACTCTTACTTTCTACCCACATTGCACTTTCTGCTTTGATTTACTACAACCAGACCATGCTGTACTCACAGGTACCACACACCAGCCAGGATCACCCTGAGGCTAGCTGCTCTTTAGTCCCAAAGGTTATTTCCAGGTTCACAGAAACCACCAATCTTCCACGGTCCCCACCAATACTGGAGATTTTAAAGCTCTTTAGAAGCCTTGTGTAGTGGAGCTGAGGTCTGGATTTCAATGGTGAGGACTGAGGCACAGCCTAGGTGTGCCGAGCTGCAGCTTCTCTTGCTGTTGCCATGAGAAAACTGCAGCTGAAGCTGCAGGTGCAGGATTCAGGGCAGCAGGGAAGGCATAGCTGAGTACACCAGCTAGGAAAGCTCCCCTACAGCAAAGATGGCACTTTTCAGCTGTTACATGGTGCCCGTGGGAGAAAGTGCAAAGAAAGGCAGTACTCCTAACTGAAGCATCCTGTGGCTCCTTGCAGGTGGAGAAAAAGAGAAAACACTCAGTTCCTCCCTGGCAGAACCAACTGTTACTGCAGAACCAGCACTGTCTCCAGCCTTGAAACCACATTTAAAACACTCCACAGCTAGAAGCATGACCCAGTTGCACGTGAACATCAAGACATTTAGTTTTATAACCAAGGTATTGCAGAAACATGCCCAAACAGAAGGGAACACCCCCCACAGCACCCTGCTGACTGATGCCAGCTCCAGCCACTGTGGAGCAGTGCTGATTTATAGCTGAGCCATCTGGACCTGGGTCTGAGCAAGGCACGAAATGCTCGAGCCTGTTCAAAACCACATCTCAGGCATCAGAGGCAGCACTCACCTCGGCAAGTGAAGAGTCCATCATTGTAATGGAAACAGGAAGGTCTGCATCAGTGTAGTCATCAGCAGAGCATATTTTCCACCTGGCAACACAGGCTTTATTTGCATATTGCCCAAACAGAGAGCTAGAGTGCCCATTTTCCTTAAGCACATAACAACCGAAGTCACCACTCTCTGTGCAGTCAGTCAGCTGGTCTCTCAGGGAAAGACAAATTCATCACCAACTTCAATCCCTCCTCCCCCAAACAGCAAGAACCACCACCAATCCTTCTCCCAACCTCCTCCACACTGCACAATTCTACAGAAAACCAGTGGCAAAAGCTTTGAGAGCTGCTCAGTCTCTTCCTGCAGACTGCCTGCTTCTGCACCTTCAGGAACATTCTTATATTTTAAAATATTCACTGCAGCTTTCATAATCTCAAGCAGTTCAATCTCTATTTTAAAGATCTAAGGAGGCAGCTTGATAGGCAAGGACCTCAGAATTCCTGCTCTAAGCTCTGCAAAAAAAAGAGAAAAGTGAATCCTCAAAGCCAATAGGATTTTGGCACCTAATGGGAACGTCAGTTGGGAGTTAAACATGGAAAATAGAGAATGTCTAAATCACGTCTCCTTTCTCCAGCATGAAATAGAAACCCCATCATTGTATTTAGCTGTTTACCAGCAGCTCCTGTGAAGAGTTTTGGTGGCTGTGAATACAAGCAAAGTGCTGCTCTGGGTCACCAAGAGCTGATTCCCTCCAAAGGAGGCCCCTGCAGCTGAACCCAGCACATGGAATCTGCTAGACCCTGTTGACACTTCCCCCCTTCACCCCAAAAAGATTATTCTGCCACCTTACCTGCATTCTCCTGATGTCACATCTGAGCTGGACACGTGTCCCACATCACACCTCTCCAAGGTGCAGCTGCCAAGGCTCTGCCTGCAAGGCTGGTCCCAGCTGTGCCCAGCAGGGTTATTTGGGCAGGAGATCTCCAAGGTCAGAGCATCTGTTAAGAAGGACAAGCATGAAGAGAGGTGGCCCTTGGCAAAGTTTGATTTAGTTACAAGTCAATTTTTTGGCTAACTCTAAAATCATCAAGAAGCAGATCAATCAAGCAGAGATTGATAATAAAAGCAACTTCTATCTTGGTAAGAAAGGATTTGGTTGTGTGGCCTCAACTTTTTCTGTAGATGAAGAGTTCGGCAAACTGAATCAACCCTCTCTGAGTAGCAGAATGCTTTGATTAAGAGCACATGCAGCAAAGAAAGATTTGCTTGCATTCCCATCAATATAGCCTGGAACTACACTTGAACATTAATGGTCTGTGTGAGAAGAGCCTCTGTGCGGTACCAGCTCACTGCTGGGAGAAATGCTTGTGTGTGAAATCCCAAATGCAGAACCCTGCAACTCTGCAATGCATAGCTATCAGTGGCTGCTTCCAATCCTTGTAAGGCTTGAGAGTTTCAGGAAAGTTCAAACAACTTGGGAATGCAGGAAAAAGCAACAAATGCAATCTGCTGGGAAAGGTGAGGTGGTTCAGCCTGGAGGAGAGAAGGCTGAGTGGACACTGGCACAGGCCGTCCAGAGAAGCTGTGGCTGCCCCATCCCTGGCAGTGTCCAAGTCCAGGCTGGATGGGGCTCTGAGCAATCTGGGAGAGTGGAATTAGCTGACCTTTAAAGTCCCTCCCAAGCCATTCTCTCACTCTTTGATTTTATTCTCAGTAGCTCTGTTACTGCTCAGGTTGTTAAACCAGGGCTGCCCTCAGCTCAGCAGCCAAGGAGCAGGACATCTCAGGGTGTGCCAGTCAGAGGGAATGGGAAGAACAGAACTCACACCCTCTGGATCCAGACTGACAGGCATCCTGTCAGGAATATACTTGGGTGAGTGATTTATACTAATAGTTCCTTAGGATTTTGGGAACTGACTGTCAGGTTGACAGACAGCCACCTCTTCAGGCCTTTCATTGCAAGCACTGTAATCATGGTTCAGATTCCTGGATTACATGCAGAAAGAGTTTAAAGCCCACAACAGCTTTTCCACACTCTAGCAGCACACTCAGCACTACTGAGACTGTTCTGTTGACTCTCTCTATATTTCAGGTGAAAGAATTGTCCAACACCACCAGGTCTTACCTAGCAGAGAGGAGCTGTGCCAGTGTGAAACACTCGAGGGCAGTGCCCAGGGAAAGTCAGAGCACGAGGTGGGTCCTTCATTCCATGGTCGTTTGGAGCAATGGAGCTGCTAATTGAAAAAATAACAAGTGCTGCTATTCCACCACACTGAATACATTAATGCCACCAACTCCCCCCACACACAGGCATCTGCATAATGTAACACCAACAGTTACACAAATACTTTTTCTGTGGCTTTTTTGTCTAGAAAAGCAGAAGAACTCATATCTTTAACCGGCAATACAGTTACAGGAAGAGGTAGGATAATTAAACTTGACACTTGCAACAAAATGTGTTGGTTCAAGTTAGGTCTGAAAAGAAATCCTACAAAACCAGGCAAGATGAGCCTGAGAGGAGAACCAAAGCAGCCACTCAAACCCTGTGAAAGGGGTAAAACGAAAAAAATCCAAAACACTATTTCAGCCAAGCCAAGAGGTATCATCTGAAGATGGCACCTAAGAAAACTTCTGAAGCAACATGTGCACAGCTGTTTTTGACCTAATATTGCTTAAACAATGAAAAACGGAAAAGAAATTGGAAGAAATGCCATCTTCAGACTCTGATCCTCCTCAAAAAGGAACTTATCACACATCTGTGTTGTGCTTCAGAGGCAGTGGGAACCTGGCTTTGCAAAAAACTTTGGAATATGCTTTTGTATGCATGTAAACACCTGCATGCACATACACATAGATATTGATCTCAAATTATTTTTAGTGGATGTTTAACTCAAAGTTTCCCATGAGGAATGCTATTTATTTCTCTGAGGTGAGGAAGAAGAAAACCCCCACCCAAATAAGCCCGGGGATTTTCTAAAATCCCATTTTACAAGCTCAGCAATGATCATAGCAAGCACCCTTACCTTCCTTTTTATGTGTTCAGCTGATGTGGGCAGCAAAGTGTAGTCAGATTCTAATTCTGCACAGCACTGTTGTAATAGAGAGAGTTTAAGGCAGGCAGGTAAGGAAAAAAAAAAACCAACAAAAAAAAAAGAAGAAAGCACTGCCTCTGATTCTGAGCAAAATGCAACTTTATCTTTCAAGCTGAATTACTTGCAGCTATCAGTTGCACAATTACAACTGCAAAACTCTGCAGTTCTTACTCCATGCTACTTTCAGCCTTTAATTCTGCAGACCTTCATGTACAAATATAAGTTTTATTCAGGTGCAGCTGGCCCAGCTTTGACTCTGATCCTCTGATGCCCTTGTCACAGCCTAGGGGACATTTCAGGACCTGTTTACTGTTAAATACCTTGTTGCTCTGTGTTGAATCCAGAGTGCTCAGATCCTGAGCTGTAGCATTCCTTACTAAAGCCAGTTGGCAAAAAAGTCTCTCCACAATGTTTCACCCTCTACCACCTTCCAAAGTTGAAGCAAGTAATCTTATTCAAAGCAAAGCACTCTAGATTTATGCAGTTTCCAACGTGTTTCTCCATAGAGGGCCACAAATGCTTAATAACTGTTTCATTGCCTATTCCAGTGTCTGGATACTGAAAAACATCTTACATTATGAGATTTTAAACATTTATTTTCAAGCTTGTCTGCAGAAGTGAGGGCTGGTTGTGGGACAAAAATCACACCAGTGCATCGGGGAAGGTTTCCCTCAGCCTCTTTTAATATGATCACCAAGAATTGCTCACAGTGAAGACCAACACCACACCTGTAAGTCCTGACACATTTTTCCCAGAAGGCTGAATAAGGAAAAGAATGTGATTTGTACATACAGCTTAGGTACACGTTAGAAAAGGAGATACCAGGTGCTGCCAGGTTGTTTGTAGCTGGTGTCAGTTGTATTGTCTTTCCCCCAGAGACCTTCCTGTGCAAGCCCACCTTTCCTGCTCCCAGGAAATACCATACCTGGCACAGCAATTCACAGAGTCTCCTCTGCAGCAGTTCCCATCTCAGGGCATTAGCAGTTGCTATGAAGAGATATTTACAAATCTAACAGGGTTCCTTACAACTTGATAATGTTACAGCATCTCCAACTACTCCTTATCAGAATTTATTGCAGTTTGCATTAGTCTGGTTAATCATACAACAGTTTTTTAACAGGAAAGAGAAAACACTGGACATCTTCACCTGCAAGTCACAGGCAATGCTTCCCCTCTTCATTAGTGTTAGAATGTCACAGTTCCTTGTGGAAACAGATCCCTCATTTGTGGCTTGGGGGAAGAGAAGCATTTGGCCTTCTTGTACAGAAGTTCTAAAGTCCATGGGCTCTGTATTTAGAAGCATTTTCCCCTCTTACCATGCAGGTGGGAGGAAGCAGGGGACTGGAATGGGTGGGTAGGGAGGAGACCACAACCCAGCCCCTCAGTCAGAAGAGGCACCAGACCTGTCTGGCTTTCTACAGGAACCAACATAAAGCAATTTTATTCTTTCCTTCAGTGCCAGCCTTGTTTGCCAGCCCTGCTCTTCATAATGCTTTACAACTTCTCTACACATCGGCCAGTTTATTTATCCACAGAAAGACTTCTGTAAAGTAACTGGAGTAATTTAAAGCCAAGGTCTTAGCCATTTTCAGGGTGGTGGTGCTTCTTTGGGGGGAGGAGGTTGGATTTTTTTTTTAGTCACAGTGGCATCAGTCTCACATATCTGGGGTTCTCTATCTACTCAAGCTCACTTTGCAAAAGAGTTTAATCTATTCAGAGCTGGAAAGCGGCAAACTATTTCCACTGTCATGCCTCTTGCTAAGAGCAAAATAAAGCAGCTGCACCGTTTGAGGGAAGCATGAAAGCAACATGAGCCCACACACATGAACAGCACCAAAACACTGGTCAGAGGGGGGCAAGCACAGTTTGGGACTGTTTCTGCTGTATCAGTGCAAAGCTGTGCCTTAGAACTAAAGCAAAGGGTTCCAGACAATTTTTCTTGCAAGACAAACTGTTTTTACACGGAGTTGTTTGCAATGCACACACATATGTTGAGAATTTGTGGTAGGTGCATGCCTGAGGCCAAAATAGTCAGAGGGCTTAGATCAGTCAAATCCCTTTTCTATAACAAAGGGATCAGACTCCAGAGTTAAGAAAGAAAAAGCCACATGTTCTGGACTCAGATCTCTGCATTATTTAATTGCCCAGGTGATTGAGGTGCTGATGTCAGGAGGTGAGTAAGAAAGAGGCAATGTGAAGTTTCCATGGCTCTGTGGCAGAAGTTGCACGTGTACAAGGCAGTGACAGGATTGCTTTCCACTAAAGAGAGCAGCCTAACACCACACAGATATTCAAAAACACAGAGCAAACACAAGCAGCAAACAGAACACAGTGTACAACAATCAAGTCTATTTGGTTCAGGAAGCTTAAGAAAGAGGGATGGATAAGGGATAAGGTAGGGAACAGCACTTTTGGTACAGGAGTACCTGTGCTACCCGTGGAGTTACTCATCCCCCCTCCTAGGACTGGGGTTTTGCTGGGAGCTTCTGAAGCTTTGGTGGATCCCACTCCTTGGGATCCCACCTGCTTCTCAGCTCAGATGGTGGCAGATCACTTCAAGGAGAAAGTAGAAAAAAAAAGGGGGAAAAAAATCCCAAAACAACAAGCAAGACTCCGCAGAGCATTTTACTGGATGACCTGCAGATCAATCCTGTTTTCCCCTCGATGTAGCTGAACCCTGAAGTACTTGCCCATGCAAAAAGTGAATGTTGGCACACTGCCAAAAATTACTCACTTTTGTGCTCTTCCACCTTCTCCTGAAGCAACTGGCAAGTGCTTGCTAAAGCTGCATTCACATCCCTGAGCTTCTGCTGCTCAGAAATGGCTTCCTCCAACTTGCTCTTCAAGGATGCTGCTTCCTCACGAGCAGAGTGAAGTGCCTCAACTTGATCCTCCGCCTGAGCACAAAACAATATTTAGGGAAAAAAGAAAGGAATACAAAAAATAAAAATAAAGCAGCCTGGCTAACACAAGGAGCCTCTACAGTTCATGTAAATGAAACCAAACTGCATCTGTTCTTTCTCAGGAAGTGATAAAGCTCCCTCTGAACTTCTGCATTTTACGTTGGGGTGGACTGTGTATGGAAGCTATTTTTGGGTGCTTTTTTTTTTTTCATCTTTTCTTTTTTTTTTTTTTTTAAGCCACCACAAATATGCAATGCTGCCTCTTTCATCAGCAAACCGTTGTCACCACCCCCTCAAATTTTACTTCCTCTGCTGGTTCCACTTTCACAGGGAGGCACACACCATTCCCAACGCGCGATTCCCTTCCCCGAGAGCAGCCGCGCTTTGGACGCTGCCCTTGGCATCTCCTGGCTCCCTGCACAGAGGGAGCTGGGCTGCCCCTTACATGCTTGGTGGCTTTCTGCAGCTCCAAATGCAGGGCTTCTGCCTGGCCAGCAGCTTCTTCTTGGAGCTGTTTGGCAGTTTCTATCTGGTGCTGCCTGCAGGGCAAGAGAGCACAAACCATAACTCACACAGCACATCAGTGATGTTTTGGAGCAGGCTGGCCCGGGAGGTGACACACTCTGGCTGCTGGGACCTGCACCAAAAGTCAGCTGTCACACACTGCAGCCCCCCCAGGATCCAGCACCAGGCAATCAGACACGGGTTTTTTACAGCAGGAAGGGGATGAAGGCTTTCTGTGACATCTCTGGGTACCACCAGGGAACTGTCAAGGAGCAAGAGCTCAGTGGGGCAAGCTTTTGCAGTTTGGACAACAGAATGTGTTTTCTCAGGTGGATATAGAGTCAGTCATTCTAGAAAAAGATACCCTGGAGCTATTACTGTTTCATTGGATTGATTTCTTAGTGTTTGAGAGGGAATTTCATTCCACAGCAAGCAGATGCCATCAGAACAGTGCTAAAGAGGATGGATTTCAATGAAACCCTTCTTTTCCACTGCAGAAACCTTTGCTCATTTCCTCTCTAATTCATCTCAGCTTTTTTGTTGTTGCTTTCATCACGAACAATTTGACACAGAGACAGCTTTAAGAAACCAAGGCATCAGTGTTTTTATCAGCTCTTTTCCAGGTGTAGGGAGAGCATGTAGGAGGTGGTTCAGTGGAAGGTAAGTCAGGCAGAAGTATGGTACAACTGCTCTGCATCAGCTCTCTGCCAAGCCCTAAGGGCATCCCAAACCCAGGGATGGGGCTCTGAGCAACCTGGGATAGGGGAAGGTGTCCCTGCCCATGGCAGGGGCTTGGAACTGGATGATCTTGAAGGTCCTTTCCAGCCTAGGCCATTTTATGATTCTATTTCAAAGATCACAACTCATAGAAAGAACCATATGGCAAAAAAAGTTACATATTCATGTTTAATGACAATTCATTGAAGCCACACCCATGGGAAACGGAGACATTGTCTTCCCTGAGCCTAGCAACTGTATCTCAAAGCAAAAATACCTGCAGACAGATATTTAACAGCTTTCCTATAAAATATCTTGCTTCACACAAACCCAACAGTCTTTAATGTCTGCACCTGCTCAATAGGCAGTCCCCTTGTGCTTTAAACTTCTCATCTGTGGTCTCCCTGGTGGTTTCAAAGACACCTTTACATCAGTTGAGACACAAACCTGAACTCCCACACAGTGTAGACCTTGTGCTAAAACCAGATCCACTCTCCAAAACAGAAGATCATTTCCTCTGTGAAAAAAATTCTTGAGAATTCAGTAGACTTTATTTCACAGAAAAACCCACCCCAAAATAAAATACCAAACAGCAAAGCAACCAGAAAAAAAAACCTAATAACCCCAAAACCAAAAAAGCTAAAACCAAAACCCAACACCCCCCAAAAAAAGATTCACATGCTTTGAAGGGGTACCTAGCAGAGAGCTCTCTCCTTAGGTGAAGTTGTTCTGTCTTGGTTCTCCTCAGGTTGCCTGCCACTCGAATGAAATCCTTGTCTAAGGACTCCTTGCATTTTTCCAAAAGCTGGAGTTTCTGGGTCCAAAGATGTCTTTTCTCTCCTAATTCTTGCTTAAGAGCCTGTGGAATTGTGAAGTTGCCATGTGGTTAGAGGAGGAGCAGAACCAGAGCCTTAATTTTCATGGTGAGAACCGAGTTCCCTGCTCCACCAATTAATATCATCACCTACATCCCACACTATGCAACTCCACCAGCAAGGTGGAGATACAGCAACAAAAACTATTGCTCATAAGAGGAAGTTCTAATAAAGATCATCTTGCAGGAAGGCCTGTAATTTATCATTTAGGCTTCTGTGGCCCTTCCCTCAGAAAGACAAATGGTACCAAATTGATTTTGTATTACAGCAAAATAAATGAAATTACCAAGAAACGATAAAACCATCTGTTTGTCATGCATGCCTAGCAGATAATCTCTCTCAGGGATTACCCCCACCACAAAGGCTTTTAGATTTACCTCTGGTTTGTAGGAAGGCAAAGGGTAAAAATTAAGTGTTAGGTAACACTCAACTCTATTTCTCTGAATAGTGGTTTGCAGTATAAAGTATTGAGAAGAAGAAGCCAGTGCTCTCTCTCTGACCTTGCTCAACTGAACACATGAAAGAGTGTCCTCAGCTTTTAAAGAATGCTTGATGAGAGTCAAACAGAGGTCAGGAAAGAACAAAGTTTATATTCCTGGGATTTTGCAGCAATTCTAAGGGGAAAACATCAATCTTTCAAGTACAGGCCACATTATCTGCTTGCAAGTTGGAGTCTGATGCTCATGAGCTTTAAATAAAAAAAAAACAAAAAACAAAAAACAAACACATCAAGTATTATGCCTTAAAAAAAGAAAAGTAAAAAATAGGCAGTTTTTGCTGATAGGTTTCCTAGGATGACATGGGATGTGACCATGTGCAACTGCCCACATCCTGAGGATCTGTTTGCCAGCCAAGGCAGGCAGCAGTCACTTGTAGAAATACCATGACCCTGACACTGAAGTGGTATAGGCTTATCAGGGCACATGTACCAGTTTTATTTCCCAGTAGAAGGGTGAAAAAGATTCTGCTGTCACTATATATGCTTAAATACATGTATATATGCACAAAAACATCTGTTGGCTTTATATGTCTAAACTCCTTTAAAATGTTTTTCAAAACACTAAACCCCAGCAAAACATGTCCATAATATATTTCACAGGAAATAGTGGGCAAGGCTTCTAGTGACAACTTCAGTTGACAAACTAATTAAATCTTGGGCCATGTGCTTTCTCTGAGGCTGAAAGAAGCTACTTGGAATATCTCTGCCTTTTTTTTTTTTATCTACAAAACATGGTGTTCAGCTCCATGCACACAATTTCACATGTATCTGGGTTGTTCTGTTTAGATGAAGATAATTTTTGACATGAAGTCATTTCCCATCCCCCACAGGACCCTAAAGGATGGGACCTTTTATTTTCAAAGGATTTTGTTCTTTCTTGATCCTCTGTGAGCTCAGTTTCCAAATGCATCACTCTTTAGAAGTCAGAATAGGATTCATTTGCCACAATCAACTCCAACCCCCACATCAAAGGTTTTTTATCTTCACATGTTTAACAGGAATATGATCCCAATGTGAATGTAACTTCACAAGCATTTTTCAGCTCTGACAGCTTTCAAGGAGGAGGTTTTCAGTCAAGAGCAAAAAGCAACAGCAACT